GGAGGCGGTAGGAGAGCTCCAGCAGGGCGCTGGTGACCCCGCACAGGCCTTCCTCCACCGCCGCCGGGAAGTTCTGCCTCGCCCGGCTGCTAACCGCGAGCTGGTGGCCGGGGCACACGGGCAGGCTGCCCCGGCGCTTCTTCAGCCGGGGCTCGGCCATGGCGGCGGGACGAGCCCCCCCGCCACGCGGCGCGGAGAGGAGAGGCCGGACACTCCGCGCAGGACTTCTGGCGCGGCGAAGTTCCCCCAGTTACGACACAAAGAGCTGCGCGCCGCGCGCTCTCCGGGCTGCGCTCGCTCTATATAGCCGGCGCGCAGGGCCCTGCAGCAGCCGCTGGCCTCTGGGTGGGGCGCACCTTGCTGCACACCCACAGCGGTACCTGACACGCCTCATCGGCGGTTATCTGCCCCCAGTGCAACCCCTCCCTCCTTCGCCTGCAGCGCGGGACCCGTCCAGACCTGCCTTAGCCCGGGGAGACGGTCACCGCTGCAACACGATACAGGCACGAAGAATAAGGCTTTGCTGCAAGGCACCCAGAAGAGAGTCTGTTGGGCCTTACAGAGCAAAGAGACTGGCATGAGCCCCAGCTGCTCTGCTTGCTTTGGGGGGTAACTGACCCCAGCACAAAGCCGGTGTGACATTAGGGTGACCAGATGTCCGATTTTATAGGGACAGTCCTGATTTTTGTGTCTTTTTCTTGTATAGATTCCTATTACCCTCCCCCTGTCCCAATTTTTCACATTTGCTGTCTGGTCACCCTATGTGAAGTGCTACCCTTCCTGTTTGAGAGTGCTGTATTGCACTCCTGAGGATGGCTACACAAGGTGCAGGGCAATGGATCATCAGGCCTTGCCAACCCTGACCCAAGAATTTGCAGTCTGAAAAGAATTCACCCTTTCCTGAATGCATGGTGCAAGTATTAATAACTTTTTACAACATTTGAACTCAAGATGGGGCCCTGAACCAAATTCCCCAGATACGGGCTCAGTTTTGATTGTTTTTTTTTGTTTTTTTGTTTTTGCAGCTCAATCCTGTTTCTGTAATGGACCAGATGAAAACAGAGCTTACATTAGGAAAGTTTTGATTCTGATTCATCCTTTGAATCCCCAAGTTTGACTACGTTTACACTAACAAGAATGTGAAGATTTTGACTGCAATATATTGACTCATTTGAATTTGTTATCAAATGTACATTTTCTAACAGGCTGAATATATATGTTTAAAATAAACTCCACAAATTTACAGTGATAAAATAAACAAGAAAACTGAACATCAAACAAACCAAGAAACAAAACAAACAAATAAAGGTTTTAATCAAGCATGTGATAGATTTGGGCCGGATTTTCAAGTTGTGTAAACTGGCATGGTCTCACTGATACCAACAGAGCTATGCTGATTTACCCCAGTTGAATAGCTGCCTCATTACATCTGAGGTTCTGGTTCAAGCCCATCTCCAACTCTCATACAATTAAAATAGCGTGCATGCTTATACCTACAGCTGTGAGTTTACAATAGCAAATGATGCAAGGGTCAGCAGAATCAACAGTCAAAGTTCTCAGCTTCAAGTCTTGCCAAGATCATGCACACGCACATTTGTATTGGATATATGTCTATTAAACCAGCTACAGGATCCAATCTATTTATGTTTTATTTACTTTACATTTAAAACTTGAGCAAAGTGGTGGATAACAGAATTGCTAAAGACAGCAGTGCCAACTGAAGAGACACTTTAGGACATTATCATTTGAGGTACATTTGTCCACTGAAGCATGCATGTACATGCTTCCTTTTAATATCAATGGATATTAAACACAGCGTGTATTGCTAGAACTGAAAACAGCTGATCATAACTTGTGCAATCAGATATATTACCAGGGACAGAGGTGATTTCCAAAAATTCTGGGAACCAATTGATTTATTCCAATGTGTTTTGTCATCAGAATTAGTCCTTTTGTCTTTGGTAATTCTCAAACTATTGTCTGTTAAGGTAACCCTATCTGGCCAGATTAAAATATCACTGATTTTTAATAAAAGTCTAATCCTCTCCTTTCTAGAATAACTTTAAAATATACTCATAAATTTCTAGGGTAACTTCTTGAGTTACTTCATCATATATAATGATAGCTGCATCTCTGTACATTATTAAAGGTAAACCCTTAATTAATATGTGCAGAAGTCAATGAACTTGAAGCACAATTAGTCTTAGCACCTTTCAAATTTGATAATTTTCTGTTCAGTGATTTTCTGTTTAGTAAGCTTAATGTCACATTTTATTCTATGGAATATTTTTTCAAGCAAATCAGGTGATAGATTAAATAAAATACTACTCCCCCAAAATCTATTCATACATTTTCCATTGGTGTGAATCTTTATTCCATTGCACGTTCTAATTGTTATTAGATGTGACTACATAAGGCAGATCAGACATAATTTGAGAATATTCACGTAAAAAGGAAATTTGGGAAAAATGTGAATCTAAAACATATGCTGGTAGTTTAGTATTTACAGCTTTTTAAGATATTTAAATAATCTTTATTCAGACTTCCAAGGGGTGACCTCAGATTCTTCAATTTTTATTTAAATTAAATAAAAGGTTCCAACAAGCAGAATGGGAATTAGTATGTCAATCCCTCATCCTGCAAACACTTAAGCACATACTTAATTATAAGCACTTGATTAGTCCTATTGAAGTCAATAGAACTATATACAAGTAAAGTAAGTATGTGTTTAAACATTTGCTGAGTCTGAGTACGACCTAGTACATACTTAAAAACTTTGGTCAATGTAGAAGCACACCCCTGATTGCTGTAGCTATGGTGATCTGACCCCCAGTGTAGATGCAGCTACAACTACAGAAGCATTGACCTAGCTACCGTCGCTCAGGGATGTGGTGTTCCTATAGCGACAGAAAAATCTCTTCCATCTCTGTAGGCTGTGTCTACACTATGGGATTATGCCAGCATAGCTATGGTTCCGTAGTAAGTACCTTACTTAATAAGTTACAGTAATTTCAAAAGAAAGGTGGGTTTATGGTGAAAAAGAGAAATAAGTCACAATATACCACAATTTTTTAAAGTTCCTGGTGGAGGAGTGGGTGTTCCCTGTAATGGTCGGAGCAGGGTTCTGAGAGTTAGGACTCTTAGGATCTATTCCAGGGTCTCCCACTGACTTGCTGTGGTACCTTGGGCAAGTCACTTGGGATCTCTGTTTCAGTCAAGGACTGAAACAGGATAGTAGGGAAGGGGGAGATGGGAGTGGTACTCTTCTACATTCCTACTTTAAGCCAATGTGACACCACTTGCAGTAGACTGTGCATGCTCTGCTTGATTTCTCAGGCTGGCTCCCCTTTGGTAGGGTTCATTCCATTAGCCTTCCCTCTTCAGCTGTGAAATAAGTGTCAGTATTGCCATAATCATAGAAATGTAGGGCTGGAAGGGACCTTGAGAAGTCATCAAGTCCAGCCCACTGTGCTGAGGCAGGACGAAGTAAAGCTAGACCATCCCTGACAGGTGCTTGTCTAACCCATTCTTAAAAACCTCCAATGATGGGGATTCTACAACCTCTGTTGGAAGCGTGTTCCAGCGCTTAACTACCCTTCTAGTTAAAACATTTTTCTTAATAGCTAACCTTAATTTCTCTTGCTGTAGATTAAGCCCATTTCTTCTTGACCTTCGGTCAGTGAACATGAAGAATAATAGATTGCCCTCCTCTTTATAACATCTCTTAATATATTTGAAGATTGTTATCAGGACCCTCTTCAGTCTTCTTTTCTCAAAACTAAACATGCCCAGTTTTTTTAGCCTTTTCTCATAGGTCAGGTTTTCTAAAACTTTTATCATTTTTCTTTATCTCCTTTGGATGCTGTTCAAGTTGTCCATATCTCTCCTGAAGTGTGGCACCCATAATTGGACACAGTACTTCAGCTGAGGCATCACCAGTGCACAGCAGAGTGGAACAATTATCTTTTGTGTCTCACATACAGGACTCCTGTTGATACATTCCAGAATGCTATTAGCTTTTTTAGCCACTGCATCACATTTTTGACATATTCAATTTGTGACCCACTATAACCTCCAGATCATCTCATGATGAGCATTCAGAATATTTAAGACCCCAGCTGCTGAATCTTATTATATGAGAAGCTTTTCTTCCATTAAAAAAAAAAGGTCTAGCCTTCCTGGATGCAGAGAAAAGCCTATAAAAAGTGAACCCTAAAGTCTTCAGAACCAGAAGGCAAATAAAAAGAACCAAAATATGTTATAAAATCTCATGATTTTCAAGTCAGGGTCATGATTTCTGGGGGACTCATTCATGATGTTTAAATGCTTGGGATTGGTGGAACAATATTGCAATATGATCCCAAGTGTAAGCACCAGAGTGAGATGTCACTAAAGTAGATTGTGCAGCTCTTCCTGTTATGTTTGTCCCTATCCTTTCTAATCTGCTTTGATCAATAGTAAAATAATTAACAATGTTGATTCTTCAGTTTTCATATTGTTAAATTGTATAGTCAATTGCTTGACCGCACATTGGTTTGTTATGAAATATACTCAAGAGACAAAATAACCAATACCAGTTAGGTTTATTGCTGTGAGCCATTCATTATATAGTGTGGAAAAAAACATTCTATACCAGGGGTGGGCAAACTGCGGCTCGCGGGGATCCGGCCCGTGAGCCGTTTTAAGCTGGCCCGTGAGCTCCCGCTGGGGAGCCAGGTTGGGGGCCACACTGGTGCTCCAGCTGGGGCACCGGGTCGGGGGCCGCACCATACAGCTCCCGGAAGCTGCGGCATGGCCCCGCTCTGAATGCTGGGGGCCACTCCACACGTAGGAGACGGAGAAGGGACATGCCACTGCTTCCAGGAGCCGCTTGAGGTAAGTGCCGCTCGGACCCTGCACCCCTGAGCCTCTCCCCATGCCCCAATCCTTGCCCCAGCCCTGATCCCCCTCCCGCTCTCCAAACCCCTCGATCCCAGCACGGAGCACCCTCCTGCACCCCAAACCTCTCATCCCCAGCCCCACCCCAGAGCCCGCACTCCCAGCTGGAACTTGCACCCCTTCCTGCACTCTTGTCCCAGCCCTGATCCCCCTCCGAACCCCTTGGTCCCAGCCCAGAGCACCTTCCTACACCCCAAACTCCTCATCCCCAGCCCCACCCCAGAGCCCTCACCCCCTCCCACACCCTAACCCCAATTGTGTGAGCATTCATGGCACACCATACAATTTCTATTCTTCAACATGGCCCCAGGCAAAAAAGTTTGCATACGATACCGGTCTCCGGGATGCCACCTTAGGCAGTGTTGTTATATTCACTTTATGTGAAAGATTGCTCCCAAAGTTACACTGCTAATACATCTTTTTATATAGAACCTGTTTGCAAGTGCAAGGTTCTGTGTGCGCCA